CTGAATATAATACTGTAGTCAATTTATGTTTTCTTAGGCTGTTTAAAAAAAATAGGTGATATTTCTTACTATGAATATTAAAAAATGAACATCTGTTCGTCTATTTCTGCATTATTTTTCCAACAATAGACCATAGCGTAAAGATATGGACTTAATTAACTTGTCATATATAACTAATAAAGTTTATTTTTATGTAAATGTTGGCGAGTGCTGCGCACGCGCACCCCTGCGGCGGCCACTTCAAACGCGCTCCGATCACTCAGCATTTTGACATCTTTTGATATGTACCGACAAATAATAACAAAATTATTATTACACTAGTTGTTTGACCGCGGTTCGCTCGTTAGCCTCGATTGGTACGTGGCTTATTTTGATCGCTGTGTAATTAAATCTGTTACCAATATGGAGGTGAGGATTTAATTGAATAAAAAAGTAGATCAGATATAAGATCATGTTACTTATAGGTAAATCGTCATACCACTGTAGCTAAGTCTACATACAGATTTAAGTTACTTTTAAATTTGGTATAATAAAAACACAGACAACAGATTGAACCTAAAATTGATACACAAATTGAAATATCGAACAACACAAATATACGATCAACAGACATACAACACAACCAGTAAATACGACGCATGTTAATAATCAATAAAAACTATAATTGGGTTACAAATAAATACGAGGTAACGGTCGCAGGTTCGTCCTCCCGCGTCGTGCATAGCGGAGGAAATAAACGTCTGTCAAATGTTTCTCCGGATTGTGCTCCTCCGGTATTCGCTTGATCATCATTACCGAGTGACAGATGTATGTCTGTCTGAATGTAGGCCATCTCGAAAACTGCTGGGTTGTTTTTGAAGAATTTCATGACCTGCACTTTGATCTGATGTATCCTAAGTAGGTAAGGAATCTGTAAATTAAGTTGCTAAGAATAATATTTTTTTACATTATTTTTATCAACTAAACTGATTGAAAAAACTTAGATACTCGCAAAAACTGTATAAAATTTAAATTATTCAAATCGAGATAAGTACAAAAGAATCTTAATTCTGAGAAACGAAAACTTCTCCCTATTGATTCCTCAGATAGGGCTCAACTGAGTCGATATTCAGGCGGGGATGCAAGCGCAATAACGTAACGCAGCCTCGACCTGGAGCAGGAGAAGGGAGGAGGTCGTTTTTAATCTGTAAGAGTCTGACACTCCCTCTCGCCTCCCCCTGGGCGAGAGAAGGCTTTTAAAGGTCATCTGATATCTACTTACATAAAAATGTACATTGTGCTACAAATAAATAAATATGGTATCGTAATGGTCCAGCGGTTTCTTCTCATGCATGTTCTTGGTAAGTAACTTTTCCAACCTAAAACTTAAGTCGAAAAATGGCGAAGGAAAACATTGTGAGGAAACCTGGACTTATAATTTCTAATTATAAGTTGACGATCGCAAATCTACCTCCACTACGCGTGGCTATTAATGACTAGCTACTCTTGCACGGTTTCACCCGCTGCTCAGCTCCATTTGATCGTAGCGTGATGTTTTATAGCCTATAGCACTCAGGAACATTGTAGCTATCTATCAGTGAAAGAATGTGTTCCAAAGATTACTCCCTACATACAAACTTACAAATTTTACCTCTTTATAATATTAGTATAGATCAAACCTTCAAAAGTCAAAATCATTTATTTCAATTAGACTCTTAGAGGCATTTTTGAACGTCAAACAAAGCTTAAAGATAAAAATTGTCTTCTTCGTGTAAAAAACCCTTTGCTCAGCAGTGGACGCTTACAGGCTGATGTTGATAATTAAAATCCAAATAGTCAATGACGAGTTGATTACATAAAGTCTAAAACGATATTGTAGAATAATAGAACAAGTTACCGCTTAACCCACACAGACTCACAAACGCGTGACAATCATGTCTATGATCAATTAACGCACAAGTTTATGAAAATAAGCAATTTATTCAAATCGTCAGCGGCCAGCTTGCAGGGCGTGTCCCGACGAAATTATACGAATAATTATATTTATGGTACGGCGCCCGCAGTGTGTAGCCAGCCTAATATATGCGCTTTATACAAATGGTTAATATTGATTGTGATTCGAGAAATTATGAAAATTTATAAAATATTATAATAACTGGAGTCATTTGTACTGGAATAAGCCTCAATTGGTTACAAGCAGCAATTATACTATAGCAGCAGCCATTACTAAACCAAAATGATTCTAAAAGCCGGACTGATGCGTCTAGAAGTTACTACCACCACTAGACCATTAAATCCTGTCCATTTATTAATTAAAATACAGAATCATATTTTTCGAAATTAATAATATAATAATAGAAATATCCACTTCCCGCATCCCGCGCCCCAGCACTTGATAGAACAAAGCTCATCAGATAAGAAATAAATGTTCACGCCTCTGCGCACGCGCAGTAATGGGCAGACACTACTGTCCAAGTAATTGTCACGGGCACACTATAATTATAATTAACCGACTTTTTGTATAATTGTGTTACATGATTAGTGACGCGGCTCGTGACAATTTATTTGAATTTAACACTCATAATCTGTTTGGGACAAATTTATGGGAACTTGCATAAATGTTGAGTGTAGAGAGATAGGCCATTTTGATCTTAATAAATATTTGGCGATAGGCATTTGTTTTGTCATAACAAATCTTACTCTGTTCTTGATAAACTTGGTAGCTTGGCAATGCAAGCAATGCAATACACCTTATATGTCGTGCCTCAATGCCCCTTCCTTTTCTGTCTCTCAATAATATTTTTGATTGCTTCCGCAGTAGTACGTATTAAAGAAACTAAATTTCTTCTATGTAGACCACCAATTTCATCTTAGACCTAAAAGCTTTACTAAAATTAATTTGAAAAAAAAAAACGTTGCCCCACATTCGGATTTTCTCCCGTGTCGTCGTCGGTGCGTTAACAAACTTACAAATTACAAATTCTCACACCCAGACCCAGAACAACAATTTGTGGATCACAATAATTGCCAACCGTGCAGTCAATTATTAGCTCTTCCTTTTTATACGATCTTCAAGAGATTTTCTGTCATCCACCTTCAGAAACTTTCAACTCCTTAAAATTGATACCCTATAGGTAATGTTGTACATGGATGGGGCAAACAGATAAGGGTAGCTCCCCACATCACCTGAACTCCCAACACATCCACGTTTTACGACCATTCCACATAAACAGTATATTAAATGACTTTTGATACTTTATGGCCCTTTAAAATGTTTCAAACAAAACTTTTGACTCGTAAAATTTAAGCCGAGTGATTAAAATACGTTGAAACTGATTAAGGACTAAAAATTATAATGTTTTTTAGAAGATGGACGACATCACGACGACACATGTGGCAGAGTCAAGCTTTGGCACGAGTGGGTCGGCTCGACCGGATTGATACCACGGGCTCACAGAATACTGGCGTGAAACAACTACAGCGTTGTGTTTCACCGTGTGAGTGAGGTTACCGGAGGCCCAATCTCGCCCCTTCCCCTATCCCTTCCCGATCCTTATATCCGCAACCCCTATACCCAAAAGGCCGGCAACGCACTCGTAACTCCTTTGGTGTTGCGGGTGTCCATGGGCGGCGCCGATTGCTTACCATCAGTAACCCGTTTGCCGATTTATACCATAAAAAAACATACGAGTTCCTAGTTACACGAGAAATTGATCTATTGAACCATGATAGCGTATTCTAATGTAAACAAAATGTGCAATGTGTTGATCCTCATTCTGTACTTACTAAATTATGTCATCTGCAGCAGAGTTTGAGTTAATCTTTTCAATTCCCTGTAATATATCTCAATGAGTAAATAAGCGAACGAAATAAAAAGCAATGAAAACAGGCGTCGGCGCGAGGGAGTCCGTCCAAACAAACCGAGTTTGTGGCTGTGTGCAGATTGCGATGCGCAGGCGACGCGTGCCGGGACCCGCTGGACAGGAGTCTGCAACTTGCAGCCAAATCTAAAAACTGTAAAAAGCATAGCAATGTTTTAAGTACCGCTTGAACCAAGAGAGAGATTTTGCAAAAGTTTTTGAAGGAATTTACTAATTTAACTAAATTAATCAAATAAACCGACATTGCTGACTGCTAGGTATCTTCATCTATCTTATCATTTCTTTAAAATCAACAATTATTGATTGAGCGTATATACATCATCATCATAGATACATCCTAAAAAGCTAACAAAAATTTTTGTTGACGTTCCCATAATATCTTAATGTAATACTACCAGAAAATAATTAAGTTACAATGTCTAATACTTGATGATTTAGGATCCTATAGTAGTACGTAGACAGAAGATGTTATCCTATAGCAATTCTTGTAAAAGGCTGCTATGTCTTAAGTACTTTATCATATTGTAACACCAATATTGCCGAGCTAGAAATGCTTTGTCTTACTTTCTTGCATTCGGTCAAAGAAAATGACCACTATTAAAATAACCTTCTGAAACACCCAAAAACGGCAATACTATAAGAAATAAACTTTTCTTTAATCCTCAAATTCAAACACCTCCAACAAAAATGTTGCGCGCCTCGCTGTGGCATGAGCGTCCGCGCTCCAATTGCACCAGATTATTGAATCAAGTGCTTTCTCAGCTGGTGACCCCTGGCCCGGCTTAACTAACAGCTGTACCGATGCATATGCTGTGCACCATCCGACCGCCACTTTAGCCTCTGCATTCAGTGATAACTGGACGATATATATACCATATAATTTACCAGTTTCATTAAGAATTATTCACCTAACTATTTTTCGGATGTTGAGATGATTAAATTAATATTCAAGGGTTTATAGCAAATGCAAATAAAACCCATATTTATTACAGTGAATGCAATAGCTGATGATCTAAGTCTTTAACAAATAATCATACCAACATACCATCCATTTAATAAATTAACCATGATTACCGATTTATTTCATTTCGTACATGATAGAAGAGCAACTATAACTTGGATGTAATTGAATACTACATTTTATTTTCTCCTGCATGGCGTTTTATGACAAGGAAATCTATCAGTGCCATGATCCAGGACTCGTTCTGACGTCAGCACTTTCTTCGGCATCTTGATGTTATGCGCCACTGGCGCGTGATGTCTGCAGGCCCTGGCTCCGCATGAACCCCTGGCAACCAACTTTGGGTTTGCGTCGGTGTAGTGGCCTCTCGTCGTCGCCGAGCTATTGTCCTGGACAAATATTCTGTCAGGCGGATCTACGCAATGCTTGTGGTATTTGGATTCGTTCCTGTGCGAATGGGGAATATTGCTATTTGTGGAGGAGCTCGAAATTGAAGTCCTGCTGCTACATCTAGGTGAAGTGGGCACAGTCCTAGCACATGGGGCGAAACCACCCGCGACGGCGTCGCTAATACCCTCATTGTAAATATTCTTTCTTGAAAATATTTCTGGGCAATCTGAGCACTCGTCCTGTTCTTTCTTAAAAAAACATTTTACAGACTGGTTTCTGCACGGTTCAATATCACAAAAGGCTTTGTTTTTCATACAGTATAAGCAACCTCTGTTTGGTGCAGGAGCCATGGCGTTCCGGCCATGCATTTGTTTACAATGCTTACTTATGATGGCTAACATAGATGAACAACATGGCGGCACCGCATCGGAACGAATAGGCGTCGAAGGAATGGGTGTCCGACCACAAGCGACATCATGCACGTTCTGCGTCATCGTGCATTGGTCACAGAAGGTCGTAATGTTGCTCTTAAACTTGCGTGTCTTACACGTGTTGCTCTTCCTGCCGGGACATTTCGCTGACGTGCAGTTTGCACATTTGCATACGAACGGGGGAATTTCCATTCTCTCTGTATAAGAACCTTGAGGTGAAGTAGCCATGGTGTGGGAGAGGGAGCACCACCGCGGAGACTGCACGACAGACTGGTAAGCAGGAACTACGTACGGAACTTTTAGAAAGGGTTCCCGATTGGCGTGCGATGTAACCGAGAAGGGAGGCTCTCGAAATTTGCTGGACCTTCGGTAGTAGGACGAGAACTCTCTGTGAGGATGTTCATCGGACTTGCTGACTAAGTGGTTGATCAGCCTCGCCCGTGAGCTCTCCACTGCCATTCTATCGACATCGTCGCTGCTAAGTAGCAATGCTCTCCTGCGAGTGCCGCGATTCTCGTACTCATTCTCCACTTGTTTTGCTTTTCGGCATTTCTTCCTTTTATTGATTTTGACTTCCTTTTGGGTCATAATGATTGAAAAGTTTTGACTTTTAAATTTTAAGTGACCATCTTTGCGATGTCACTCTGTGACAGACTCACCGAAGAGGCTACAACAAAAAGTTTGCTCACTTCACGTAAGTGTCCAAACAGAATGTTGTCTTAAAACACTTTATAAACAGCTGAGGCGGAAACACCTAGTTGATCGCGAACCACTTCAATTCATATCCTTGTGACAATAAAGGATTGAGTAACATATTTCCTTACAAACTTATTGCCAACGTATTGCTCAATTCTCAACCTTATTGGATGGAATTGAGAACAATATCAGCTGCAAGCACATTTTGGGAGGGAGTGACGAATCCAGGCCAAGATAAATTGGACTCCCCTCCTCCCGGCCGTCTTGTGTGCGTCGCCCGGCGAGGGGAGATATCGGACCAATTTAAAGATCTTATATCATAGAGGGAGCGAAGGCAGATGCGTGCAATTGTCCGAGTCAAAGATCAGAGGAAGTGGCTGCGCACGCGCCGGCCAGCTGCGAAACTCGCGTGATCTTGTCGCGGATTGGTTAATTATTTGATATTTGTCACGTTGGCCAGATGAGATCATGATAATTAAGTAGGAGAATTAGCAAAGACTGGCTGCTATTATTTCGTCGATTTGTCGAAGGTAGGTAAATTACGGTTTCTTACGTCCTACATATCAAATAGTTATCAGTTTTACAAAGTAAGTTAATGAGGGGAGAATACGCAGTGTCGAATAAAACAGGGATCTAGTGACAAAGAGACGAGCGAGCAATAAAGCACAAGATATAAAGCACACGGTGGGCCCACATTAAAATTACTCCACGATAAACATATACGCCGTATAAGGTTTTATTGGCTATAAAATAATGTTATGTGTCCATTCTAGATAGTTAGACAGCTTCTAAAACAATTAGTGGTTCTGTTATTGGGGTGTTAGGAAATTGGTGTCATGATACCAGTTTATAAGGAGGCTCTTTGGGGCTGTTTCTGTTTGTTGTGTCTTGCAACAAGACCGATGAAACATGGACAACAACAGCTCTCTATGAGAAGTGAAAACAAAATTGTTTTTAGAAACCTTTTAAATTCTTCATAAATACGTTCTTATTAATTAGCTTTTAATATAGTATAGTGACTTCCTGCAGATTTTTGGTATAAAAACTATTCTATGTCCTTTCTGGGTTCCAAACGGATTCAGTAGTTTAGGCGTGATAGACAAACAAACAGACAGAGTTACTTTTGCATTTATAACCTTAGTTTGGATTTGTGTAAACATTAGATTCTCCATGTCCGATGTCATAATTTGCGAGTTCGTTAAGGAATGATAAACCTCACCCAGTGACAACGAGAGAAGAGCCTGAAAACAAACATAAAAAAAATGTTATGTCCCTTTCAACGGAAGCCAAGTAATGCCAACGACTTCAATAAAACCCAGGATTTCTTCTTAACTCGTATAATATAATTAACTAATGCACTTTTGATTTACGACCCGAACACCTCCGGCCTTAGGTTCTATCTAAAAACTAAAATAAACTTAAAATTGCAACGTAATTTATTACACGATAGCCACCTCTGATAAACGGTACTAAAATCTTTTATTACTATTAAAAATACAATAAAAAAAAACATTGACCAAACAAAGCTTTCTCGTGTAAATAAACTTTTTGAAAACAGTGGGAACGTAACGTTTTCAAACTCGTGCTTTGCCATTAAAAATGTTATGGGAGCCATCAATTTTATACCGTCGCCGTAGTTTTAGTACACAGTTTTAATTTTTGACATTTATTAGTTGAGACTATGAGAGCTGTGTCTTGTGTGCGTGGTGGAAGAACTCGCTAGTTTGCACGACGCCTCCTAACTACCATGAAAAGATCTTGATTCAGCGCTAAGGGTACCTACACTTAACAAAATAGTAGCTACTTTAAATACCTATCAGAGACTTTCCTCTCCGCCCATTAATCAAGCTGTTAAGTCAAATTACTACAATTGTTTTCAAAACCGAAGACAAATGAACGAAAGTACAATTTACCCGTGAAGGTACCGTCGACAAAACTAACCCCCACACCGCGACCGGGTACGAAAATGACCCCGATAACATCTCAACACTAACAAACGCGTTACAATTGTTAACGAATGTATATTTTCGTAATAAAGACTTCATACAAATTACATACGGTTACTTTGCAGTTGTTTATATCCTTATTCCGTTGGAAATAGGGGTTATTTTGGGGTTTTGAAGTTGTTTCTTTGCTGTGAAACGATAACAGGCGCCCCGTGGCGAAGCCCGCGAGTCTTTTGTACCGGTAATTTCACTGCCGACCCCTCTGGTACAATAGTATTGTAAGTCATTAGACATTGTAGTCGTTAGTTCAGATGACGATAATTGGTTGTTTTTTTTTTGTTAGTATGTAATTTTGTTGTACAATAGTATACGTTTGTATGGAAATCGTGTAGAAGTTATGTAGAGCAAATAAAAAAAATATATTTTAAAGTTCTTAGTAAGTATGCGAGTATTGATTGCTGAGTTGACGAAGCTAAACTGATTGTGTACTGTGGTTGGTTTTTAGAACTAAGTATTCATGAATTATCAGAAGACCGTCATCATCCAAATAGAATACATCAACTACGAGTCCATATGTGCATATTCTCACTTGCAATGAACTGCAAACTTTGGCTACATTAATCGTCTAAGAACAGACGACTCGATTCGAAATCGTTCAAGCGGATGTTTCAAGTGTATATTCATGAAATTTTATTTAAGTTTATAGGTATTTTAATGGAAGTACTGTTTACTTATTTTTAATGAGATACTGCTGCAAACGAGCAGACCCAGACCTGATGGTAAGCAATCGGCACAGCGCATGGACACCGGCAACACCAGAGGAGTTGCAAATGCGTTGTCCTCCTCTTAGAGATAACGGCTTTAGGAATTTAGGCATTGAGGAGAGATAAAGAAGTGAAAGACCTGGGTCTCAGGTAACCATAACCACACATCGACAAAGTTGTTTCACGCCGGTTTTCCGTGGGGCTGTTGTATCTCTGTTTGTCACAGTTCATAGTACTACAGTTAACTAAGAGAACATGATGGATATAATTATTACAAGCAGCTGCATTCTTTAACAACTTCCCTTCCTCCCTAGAACAGCGTGACATCATTCTACAATAACCTACAACCGCCATCGTAAGGTCTATCGAACCATTATTCCATATTTCCATAAAATATTGGCAAAACGGGTTGATTAAGTAATAATCGTAAAGTATACACATTCCACCGCCCGCGGCTTCGGCCACTTGTTTACACCCATAACAATAAAACTTGGGGCTGTGGGCTGCCATAACTCCTTGATCATCTGACGTCAACAGTTAACAGGTCGTTATAAAATATAAATATTGGATAAAATACTTCTCTAAGTACAAAAAGAGGTCAATATTGTAAGAAGTTTCTACTGTATTTTACCTCTAATTAAGTATATTGTGGGAGAGCCAAGCTTCGGCACAAACGGGTCGGCTCGACCGGAGTGATACCACGGCCTCACAGAATACCGACGTGAAGCAACCACAGCGATGTGTTTCACCGTGTGAGTGAGGTTACCGGAGGCCCAATCCTTCCCCTCCTCGATCCCTCTCAATCACTAAAACTCCAAAGCCCTAATCCCTAAAAGGTCGGCAACGCACTCGTAACTCCTCCGTTGCGGGTGTCCATGGGCGGCGCTGATTATTACTTACCATCAGGTAATCCGTCCGCTCGTTTGCCGACCTAATCCATAAAAAAAGAATTATCAGGTTACTATTACTTACTGTCATTACTATTCTTTTTTATTAGAAAGCTCATATTTACACGTTCAGCACAGTGTTCACTGAACAATAATCCTAACAAATATTGCTAGACAAGTAACCTAATCTATATAAGACCTTTTATTATCACGGTTGTGACCAGAACCACGTTTTTATAATAAAATACACGTTATAATAACTAATATTATGCTAATGTAAATTAAGTTTGATAACGGCACGGGCCCAGCATAGACGTCCATCCTCCTTTTATTATAATTATAAATGTTTTTTGTTTATAAGGCAGGTGTGCATTGTATTAGAATGTTATAATATTAATGTTTTATTTTGGCAAGCAAAGACGCGCCCCGCGGTATGTGAGAATTTTTATGTGGTGTAAGTTAGAAGATACCGACCATTTTATTTTATCACCGATCACGACGCCAACTGTACTTATGGACATTGATTGACAAATATAACACAAGGTATATTATTGGATAGCTTAACCGTAACTAATAATGTGTTTATTGAAAAATAACAATTTAAAAATAAAATTTCCAATAAAATAAAACATTAAAAGTTCTAAATGTTTTAACACAGTTCGATCGCTATCCGCTTATAATTTGTCCCGCGTAACAAACATGACCCTCCTTCGCCAGTGGGGGTCCTACAGACCCATGCTCATCAATTATCGCGAGAAGCCCTCACGGTGCCGTAGGATACGTCAACAGGTGCCAGCAGAGACATGGGTAACTTAATTTAGAAAATATTCACGGTAGCCGCGCCTTGGGCTATGGACATTGTGTTCATATAAAATTGGTCGCAAGTCAAGCGATTTTATAACTTAGCAACATTTGATAAAGGTTGGCATGCAATACTTAGTCATATTTATTTTTTAATACTAACAAAAAAGTCATAAAAATATTCACCCATGTCACTTTATTGTTGTGACAGTAAAGTTAAGGAAAATATAAAATTAAAAAGATTAACTAACTAGTAACGAACGATCAATATAAACGCCACTGGCAACATTTATTAAGAAATCCTACACAAGAATACCTACGTAGGTAAGCAATTATCAAAAAATAATACCATAAACATGACAGCGAATATAAATGGTAATTGTGTCCCTAATTCTATCTGTGCCCATAAATATTGTGTTACCATTTTTTTATTCGAGCTGATCATTACATTCGCGTATAGCCGTGATTTATGTTGCCGAAGCGAAGCCGAAAAG